ACACATACACATACACCACAGGCACACATTACACATACACACACAGGCACACGCACATTACACATACGCACACAGGCACACACACACACACAGGCACACACACACATTACACACACAGGCACCACACATTACACACACACATTACACACACACATTACACACCACATTACACACACATTACACACACACTTTACACACACACAGACACACTACACACACATTACACACACACATTACACACACACATTACACACACACATTACACACACACACACACACACTACACTTTACACACACATTACCCACACACACATTACACACACACACATACACACATTACACACACAACACATTACACACACATACATTAGACACACACACATTACACACACACATTACACACACACTACACACAAAATAACACACTACACACATTACACAACACACATTACACACACACACTACACACACATTACACACACACATTACACACACATTACACACAACACACACACATTACACACACACACTACACACACATCACACACACATATTACACACTACACACATTACACACACACTACACAACACACTACACACACACACACACACACACACTACACACACACAGACACACACACTACACACACACTTCACACACACATTACACACACACACATTACACACACACCACACACACACTACACACATCACACACACACTACACACATCACACACACACACTACACACATTACACACACACATTACACACACACACACTACACACACACACACACACTACACACATTACACACACATCACACACACACACATCACACACATTACACACACACACACACACTACACACACATTACACACACTACACACACACTACACACATCACACACTACACACATCACACACATACACACATTACACACACACATTACACACACACACTACACACACTACACACACACTACACACATTACACACACATCCACACACATCACACACACACATTACACACACACATACACACTACACACACATTACACACACACACTACACACATCACACACACACTACACACATCACAAACACACACTACACACATTACACACACACATTACACACACACATTACACACACACTACACACACACTACACACACACACATTACACACACACACTACCACACCACACACACACTACACAACACACCTACACACTCACACAACACCCACTACACACATCACACACATACACACATTACACACACACATTACACACACACACTACACACACTACACACACACACTACACACATTACACACACATCACACACACATCACACACACACATTACACACACACACTACACACTACACACACACACACATTACACACACACATTACACACACATCACACACACTACACACACCACACACACTACACACATCACACACACACTACACACATCACACACACACACTACACACATTACACACACACACACACACACACTACACACACACACTACACACACACTACACACACACACTACACACATTACACACACACATCACACACACATCACACACACATTACACACACACACTACACACACTACACACACACACATTACACACACACTACACACAACTACACACATCACACACTACACACATCACACACACTACACACATTACACACACACACTACACACACACATTACACACACTACACACACACACACTACACACACACTACACATTACACACACACATTACACACACACCAATTACACACACACTACACATACACACACATTACACACTACACACACACAGACACACACACACATTACACACTACACACAGACACACAGACACACACACAGACACACACTACACACACACACTACACACACACACTGCACACACTACACCACACACTACACACAACACTACACACTACACACACACTACACACACACACTACACACACTACACACACACACTACACACACTACACACACACTACCACACACCACTACACACACTACACACACACACATTACACACACACACTACACACACACACATTACACACACACATTACACACACACACTACACACATCACACACACACTACACACATCACACACTACACACATTACACACACAACATTACACACACACTACACACACTACACACACCACTACACACACGCAAACTCCCGGAACACACTCAGCGTGAGTCGCACCAACAACAACAACAATAAAAAAAAATTTAAACACAATAACTTCACCACCGACACAAGTGATGCTTTCTACAGATGCAAATTGCACGCCGGAATAATTACATTTGAGGGGGAAGGGTGGGAAATAATGAATAATAACAAATAATAAAAATAATAATAATAATAACACGAGCAGCAGCAGTAGCAGCAGCAGCAGGGAGCGGTGCTGCTGCTGCTGCGTTTGGCATCAGAGAGCAGCGATGAGGGTTGCCATGGCGACCGCCAAGTTAAATCACCTTTAGCGAGGGACCAGTTTCAGCAACTCCGCTAACAACGAGGGGTGGTGAGGGGTGGTGAGTGGGGGGAGCGGTGGTGCAGCGGTTAGCGCTATGAACCTACCTGGTGACCATAGTGACGGTGATGATGATGGTGGTGGTGATGGCGGGGAGCGGTGGTGCAGCGGTTAGCGCTATGAACCGACCTGATGACGATAGTGACGGTGACGATGATGGTGGTGGTGATGGCGGGGAGCGGTGGTGCAGCGGTTAGCGCTACGCTGCGCTATGAACCTACCTGATGACCATAGTGACGGTGATGATGATGGTGGTGGTGGTGATGGTGGGGAGCGGTGGTGCAGCGGTTAGCGCTATGAACCTACCTGGTGACGATAGTGACGGTGATGGTGGGGAGCGGTGGTGCAGTGGTTAGCGCTATGAACCTACCTGATGACCATAGTGACGGTGATGGTGGTGATGGTGGGGAGCGGTGGTGCAGCGGTTAGCGCTATGAACCTACCTGATGACGATAGTGACGGTGATGGTGGTGATGGTGGTGGTGGTGGGGAGCGGTGGTGCAGCGGTTAGCGCTATGAACCTACCTGGTGACGGTGATGATGATGGTGGTGGTGATGGTGGGAGCGGTGGTGCAGCGGTTAGCGCTATGAACCTACCTGATGACGGTGATGATGGTGGTGGTGGTGATGGTGGGGAGCGGTGGTGCAGCGGTTAGCGCTATGAACCTACCTGATGACCATAGTGACGGTGATGATGATGATGATGGTGGTGGTGGGGAGCGGTGGTGCAGCGGTTAGCGCTATGAACCTACCTGATGACCATAGTGACGGTGATGATGATGATGGTGGTGATGGTGGGGAGCGGTGGTGCAGCGGTTAGCGCTATGAACCTACCTGATGGTGACGGTGATGATGATGGTGATGGTGATGGTGGGGAGCGGTGGTGCAGCGGTTAGCGCTATGAACCTACCTGGTGACGGTAATGATGGTGGTGGTGGTGATGGTGGGGAGCGGTGGTGCAGCGGTTAGCGCTATGAACCGACCTGATGACGATGGTGACGGTGATGGTGGGTGGTGGTGGTGGGGAGCGGTGGTGCAGCGGTTAGCGCTATGAACCTACCTGGTGACGGTGGTGACGGTGATGGTGGTGGTGGTGGTGATGGTGGGGAGCGGTGGTGCAGCGGTTAGCGCTATGAACCTACCTGATGATGATGGTGGTGGTGATGGTGGGGAGCGGTGGTGCAGCGGTTAGCGCTATGAACCTACCTGACGATGGTGGTGGTGGTGATGGTGGGGAGCGGTGGTGCAGCGGTTAGCGCTATGAACCTACCTGATGATGGTGGTGGTGGTGATGGTGGGGAGCGGTGGTGCAGCGGTTAGCGCTATGAACCTACCTGACGATGGTGGTGGTGGTGATG